TAAAACTACTTTATTCCCACTGATCACAGCAAATATAGCTGCAAGGCAAAGAAAGGATAGAGTAGCTCCTCTCCACCCAACAGAACTAAACTTGTACAAGCAGCAAAAAGGAAGCAGCAGACGCGATTTTGCTGCTCCTGCTGCGTCCAGTGTGAACGTAGCATTAATCTCCATGTAATTTTCTCAATAAAGCTGGAAGTACTCAGTGATCTCCAGCACTTTTAATGATTTTAATTCTTTTGCTGCAAACCTTGAAAAGGCAGCAGTTTTTAACTTAAACTGTTCACCCAGTAGTGTCAGGACAAAGTAACCAGCAGAAGCAGAGCGGACTCAGTGCTGCCAGGTAAGAAATGTAGGATTATCACAATAGAGACATAAAATTATTGTATTTTGAGGCAAATTATCATACACTCGCCATAACCAAAATAACAAATCTATAGTCTCTCTAGGGTTATATAGCATCCAACAGGCATTCACAGCCAGTGTTGTGCATGAATGCGTTCAATGAACGGCGTTCACTGAATACGTTCATATTTTCTGAAGCATGCCTACTGCTGGTACTAGTCTGCGCATTTCAGACTCTGTTAGAGTTTTATAAACTAACAAAGGAAGACTCGCAAAGAAAAACAAACCTCACATTTTTTAGACTAAACAAACAACTCCATATGTCAGCCGCATCTAACTCAAATTTAAAGCGACACATCGAGACACATCTACTACAAGGTAACTTTTGGTATGGATGCAATGATTCAAAATGACCTGATGCTCTTTAAAATAAAACCACATTAGTCCGTTCATGTCAGGGACAGCAGGTGACCTGCTCAGAGGACAGAAAGTAGGGTTTTGCAACTCTCTGTTTGTAAAAAATAATGACGTTTTGTTTTGAGCAAAAGATGGTGATAAGAATTCAGTGAGCTGCATCTGCTTTTACCTTTGCTTCCTCCCTCAGTGTCGTGTATCCGTTGGGTAATGAGCCACACAGGAAAACCTTACCGAAAGTGGGTCACAATCACATAACCACTTTATGCACTGACACAGTGACCTAAATTTTCTTCTGAGATTGCTCTTACATTTTTACTTGTATTGTAAAAACAAACATTTAGACCTTAACTACCCTCTCTCTAAAATTATTAGTCCTGACTACGCTATAGCTATAGATACGGAGTCTAAACCGCAGGCTAAAACTTCCATTGAAATAGTTTTGCAAATTACCTCCTTATATAATTCATAAGTTATCTTCTTTTGGGAATAATGTAAGATTTAACAAGGCTCTGAGTAGGGATAGCGATAAATAAACATACTTTTATTGCTAAAAAAGCATCAGTTTAGGTTAGTTTGCCAGTTACATTTGCAGTCTTCATTTCAGAGAGTTCCAGTTAAACTACTCTGGCAAAAGCAGTTGACCAGAAACAAACTAACAGAAACCTGATGGTACCTTTCAACTTGAACCCCTTTGAATGAAAGCGGACATAAATGGGATTTAAAGTCACAGTTAAAGTAACATAACCAGTGCTTGCAGGTTTCAGGACAGCTATGCATCTTTTGGAGCCTGCACTTACTTTAAAAGCTGTTCTCATTTCAAAACACAAGTCATGAAGATTTGCTCTTTACTGCTTTAGCAACTGTAAAATCAAGCAGTAACCATGAAACATGTAATGGCTGCTGTAATGGTTTGATTACAATTAAAATCGTAGGAAAACGGCTGTTCTAACTGTCGCATTTCTGTATTCTGCAGAGTGGTGCCCGACTTTACACTAATGAATAAATTGAATGTGTTGGTCGTTTCTCAAGGGTGCGGGATTGTTGTGGCGGAAGGTTCGCAAGCATGTTTGGTTGTGGCCGCTTTGTCGAAAGCATCTTGCTAACCAGTTAGCAACTAAGTGCTAGTAGGTTCCCAATGGGAAATTCCATTGCAACCAAGTAGCACTAAATTGGTGACTTAGAAACGACACTATCAAGGAACGCTATGGACAGCGGAAACATGCAAGAGGAGGAGAGTTTAGTGTCGGAGGTCGTGGATGAGTCTCCTCTGTCAGACATTTTTTATTTAGAGGACGAAAGTGAGGACGAAGATGTTGTGGAAGTGGACGCCAGGACGGCAGAAGCTTCGTTTGGTGTAGAAGATTTACAGCTGTACACGTTTGAGCCCTTGCCTCGCAACGCTGCCAGTTCTGTTAGCTCTACGCCTGCCAAAGACACAGACGTCCATCCCTGTGAACACGGGGACGGAACTCAATGGTAAAGTAAATGATTCTTATTTCTTATTTCAACCGTTGCATATATTGGCTGTGACGTATGAATCAAGATGCTATGACCAAAGAAATTTGATTGACAGATGACCGTTGATATATGATTGGCCAAATTTAGGTGTACAAGCTAACGTATAACTAACTGACAATATCATCTGATAAAGAGTAAATTTATATGCATGTTTAAGCTAGAATGATTTAACATTTAAATATGACTTCTCTATGACTTTAAGGTTTTCACTACAGTTGCTTCAGGAGTTTGTAAAGTTGGGAGAATTTTAGAAAGCAGTTTTGAATAATCTCAAATCTTCACACCGTAAAAATGAGCTGTTATGATGCGACTGTGGCCTTCTAGATGAATCAGATAAGAGATTTTAAGAATGTGTTGTATTCTGAGAAAAAACTTGCCCTGAATTCATGGGAATAGAGGGATTAAAAAAGCGAAGTATTTTTTTTTTGTTTAAATCCTTTATAATGAATGCACACTGTTAAAACACGATGGTTATGTTTAAATGTTTTGGAATCTGTCCTGTGTTTCATTTAAATGCATTTCCTGCAGGACCCAATCAGCTGGATAGTATTGGGTCATAGCCCTCTTTATTCATTACTGCTGTAATGAGCTAAAAATAGAGATGTGGAAGACTAAAAAAAGCCAGTGACCACTGAATGTTGAAGTTATCCCCTCCCTTACAGACTCCACGCTCGCACGAACAAGCATTCCCTCAACTTTATTCTAACTCAAAACAATTTAAGCTTAAAATCAAACAAACAAAACTAAACATCTACTCAAATAAGCAACATGTAAGATGCTCTTTAACCCAGATCCGTTTTCAAGAAAGGTAGACTTTTTCTCTTGTCTCAGGGAGATGAAGTCAAACTGCATGTCTACTTGCAGACAATGAGGATTATGAGACAGCAGATTTACACTAAAGGGCACCTTGTGGCTCATAAAGACTGGACAAACTCCTCCAGCTCCCGACTGAAGTTATCTTTCTTATTGTTAATATTGCTAAAGATTCTCTCAACTAGAAAAACCTATTTCCCATAAATGTGTTTAGTTTAGATACAGTGCTTTAAAAAAGTCCATAATTAAATAACCAAAAAAAAAAACAAACAAAAAAAACTGTGAAAATCCAAAAACTTTAATTGTAGACTTATGTTTGGGGTATATTACATTATATAGATTACATATTATGTTCTTGCAACTTTATATTTAGAGCTCTGCAGTCAAAATGGGCTTCAAAAAAACAGAAAAAAAGAAACAGAAAAGAAAAATGCTGCCATCATCCTGCAAGGTGAAGAACTGTAGCTGTGCGGAGCTCCAGGATTTACAGTCCTCAATTTAACACATAAGATAACCAATTAGTGCACATAGTTCAATGTTTGGCTCTGCTTCCAGCAAGGAGAAACATGCAACATGAGACGTGATTTAAAGGGCAAGGCTTTTTTTTTTTTTTAACATATCAATTTTGCTGTTATAGGATGCTTATAGACATATATATTATGCAAGGATTAAAGATTGGAATAAAACTTAACTCTAAACAGCCATATGATCCAGGTCAAATGATGGATGGTCTACATTGGATTGTGATTCACTTTATTTTCTTGATTTTTTTATTCTAATTTTACACAAATTACCAAAATGGAAATAATCAAGCATTTTTTCCAAAGAGAACCTTGTCTGTTATTAAAGGCTCCCCTAAAAGACGCAGGGTGGTAGTTTGAAACCTGGATAAGAAGAAATTATATTTCTGACATTTTCATTTAGTCTGATTTTGAAAATACTAAATTTATCAAATGCTACATTTTCAGTTTGTGAAGATTTCCCCATTTTTTCCACATAAAATAGTTCTAAACCTCTATGCGATATCAAGAACAATTTTAAGCGTTCCATATTTTAAACAAAACTCAAACCACATATAAGGTTTGCTTTTTCTTTAAAAACAAGTACTTTGTTTGGAGTTTATTGCATCAAACAGGAGTTTCTCCGTGATTGATTTAGAAACAGTTTTGTGAAGCGTTTGTACACTAATCAAACCGTCTTTCAGGCTAAAGTCCAATATTGACCATCAATCAAATCTAAAAAAAAAACAAGAAAAAAAAAAAAAACGCAATCATCTTACCTCCACCTATTGACCCCGACATTAGAGGAGCCTGCAAACCATGGGTCAAGGAAGTAAACGCAGCGCACTGTGCCAGCACCCCGGACCGCCTCCCTTAAAGCTGGATTGTCGTGGAGACGCAGTCCTTTACGGAACCAGTGGATGGAATTTGGGGCCATTTTACTCTGAAGAAGAGGAATTAAAACAAGAACATGTGAGCAGGTTGGAACACCAGGGTTAAGAGATAAGATAGTTCCTAGATAAACAAACTTGTTAGCTGTAACCCAACTTAATGTAAACAGAATCACAAACGTGAGTAAATATCCAAGATCTCAAAACTGCATCTAACTGGTGCAGAACCGTGACAAATCTGTGCCTATAAGGAAGATGATGTCATAAAGAGTAAAAAAAAACAAACAACATAAAATGATAAATGGATAAGCTGACACAGAGACATTTTATTGTTGGGCTTAAAATATATCACTGTATCTAAGCAACCACATATTCAGGTGTTCAGTGTTTTTTAGATTTTTTTTAGAAAGGAAAAAAACCTCATATCAACTAAATTTAATTCTTGTTACCTTTCAACACCTTAACATACTGCCTTTATTGCTTTGTAGCAGAAACAACCATAAAGTACAACAGGGGTCACCAATACGGTGCCCGCAGGCACCAGGAGGCCCTCAAGGACCATAGCGAGGGGCCCTAAACTTCGTCTGAAAATAGAACAACTCACCATTGAACTAAGTTTGAAAATGTATTTTATTCTGTTTCTCTTTTTTTTAATAATTTATAGATAATTTCATCATTTTAACCATATAGAGCATTTAGAGAGATTTAAGAATGACAATATTGAATATAAAATTTTCGATAATGAAAAGAAAGTTAACAATAATAATGTTCGTAATATGGATAAAGTTTAGGTGATCATTGACCCCTTTTGTTCATAGGTTAGTATTGGTAGCCCTTCCTATGACTCGGTAGCCATGAAGTAGCCCTCAGCCTTAATAAGGTTGGTGACCCCTGTACTACAAAGTGAGACATAAAGTGACACAAAAAAGCTTTAGGATGCTGGAGAGGTGATAGCAAGAGCCAAGATGATCAACTCCTGACAAGAATGCCACAGTCTGATGCTGCCACCAGTGCAGAGCTTGCACAACATTGCCAGAAGACATATTGAAATTGAATGAAGACTTAGGTAAAAAATTTTTTGATTTTTCAGAAGAACTCTGCTTACAATTTTCTTGGAAGTCTGGAAAATAAGTTAACTTGCTTCAGATCCAAAATATTAACAGATGCTGTTTTCAGCCTTTTCTGTTGCCATTGATGTGCTCCGTTGATGACTGCTGGCTTTTACACAACAGCCTAAATAGGTTACTCCCTCCTTTTTGAATGCATCTCTGTCAGAAAGCCTGTTTTTTCGAAGAAGAGGTCAGAACTCAAGCTGTTATTTTTCCCCCCATTGACAAAAACTTTTAGAGCTCATGGACAGCAGGAGGCTACAGCATGGAAGCCCGGTGACTGAATCTGGAAAGCTGAAGGCAGAGGAAGACAAACAGAATCTCTATGGCAGACATATGGGTGCTAATTATAACTGGCTCATCCATCGGAAGACAAGCTGCCGTTTGGCTCGCCTGTGGGTTTTCTCTCTGGCTCGATATCTGAATGAATGTGTCAGGAATCGACCCTTTGGGAAGCTTCCTGCGATCTAAATCTCATTGGTGACCAGAGTTCCGTCAAGGGTAGAAATATGCTCAAAGTGCTTTTGAGATGCGGTCGCTCTTTGTGCATTTTTGTTTCTAAAGTAACCAGAAGCGCTACACTGTATTTGTGAATAAATTTAGGATTCACTTCTCTCATTGGGCGATTGCTAAAAACAGGATTTCAACTTTAAAAGTGATCTGACTAATTTAATTTCAAGAAGACAATGAGTCCTATTGATTTATTATTATCAATTATTTTCTTTTTTTTCATCTTTTTATACAGCCAAATTTGTGTTTTGTTGCAATAAGGAAAAAAGGTAACAGCATATATTTTTTTTTTCAGTCAGGTTTAGCAACAGGTTTGGGAGGGGAAGTTAATTTAGGCTCTTTAGAGCAGGAGAATGTAAAGTTACTATAACCGAAAGCAACAATGTCTGAGCAAAAGGTAAGACTTAATAACTTCACTTCTTTCTCAAAGAAGACCAAAAAATAAAGAAGACAGAGAAAATATACATTTTTAAATAAATAAAGCTTTTACAGATAGGCAAAATGTAAATGCAAAACTGTGCAATTGTCAACCCACTTATCAACAGTTTTTCTTTCGTTATGCCTAACGAGTTTAGTCCAGGAATTAAGCCTGTAGTACATAGCGAGTAATGGACGTTACTCTTTATTTCTGGCTATAGACCGGAAACAGGTTATGGTTTGTAACCAGTTTTAACCAAAAAAAGAAAAAGCAAAACCATGCTTTTCTAAGGTCTGTGCCTGAATTAGCACTTATCCATTCAGTATCAGAAGCTAAAAAAATCCTTTCCTCACTCTTTAAGTAGCGTACACCTGCCGTATCCCGAAAAAGCTCCCGTCTTACTACATCAGCCGACTTTAGCAGCTCAGTAAGTTTTATGAGGGCGTTGTGGAGGTGTCCTCCTCACCAGGATTTATCTACATCTGCTTCTTAAAAGCTGAACAGATGGATCATGATTACTCATGAAGGTCCAAAAAAAGAGGAAAAAAATCTACCACTGCCAGCCACGCAGGCCTGCAGGTGGTCACATTACATGATGTTTCCACTAATGAACCTGGCTGCTTTACTTCATTTATTATTCATATTGTTTTATAGCTTTTCCTCTGTTACATATTTAGTCATCTAAAATGCAAAACTGATGTGTGAATGTTGACAGCAGGGGGCAAGCTTCTAGAAGAACCCCAATAGTATCTAGTGCATTTATTTACACAGATAATAATAAAGGGCACTTTATTGGTGAATCACATATAAACTGGACACAAATAACAGATGAACCAAAATTTTTTTTGCAATATTAACTAATCAGAACCATTAATCGAATGTTTAATCCATCTAATGTACTACAATATTGAAAAGTTTTAAATCCAAATACTATTTATCAATCCAGCTCCTTCCCATCTGATGCTAATTATTTGGGCCAGAATCCAATTCAGATAATCAAATTCATTCTAAGATGAAAATTATTCTAGTTAATTTTAAACAATTTTTTGCATATTTTGAAATATTCTATCTAATTTCTCACTACAATTTCATCCAATTACATTTATTTTGGACGGCATAAAGTGCAGTCTACTTTAATACAGTGACTTCAATCCAGTTAGATTTAATTCCAGCTTATCCATCTTATTTAATCCACTTCAATCAATTTATTTAATCATTATTCAAGATGTAAAGATTTTATTACAGTGTAATATAATAAAGCTGGATTCAAATTTTAATGTAATGGCAGGTCATTTTATTAAAAATGGTTAAGTTTAATGCAGATTCAAATAGAATTGATCAGGTTTGATTAAATTAATTCTGTAACAATTAAGAAATAAATAACTTAATTCACAAAGCATTTAAAAACAGCTTTAAAAAAAGCTTGCACATAAAATGAAAAAGAATAACAAAAAACAAAACAAACAAACAAACAAAACAAAAAAACAATGGTTTTGCAGACAATTAGGGGAAGAATATTTATTTACTAAAAAAAAAAAACTCCAAGTTAAAAATCGGTTTGTGCAAAGGGAAAACATTTGTAAAATTTTTGAAATGTTGTATTTAACCAGTTGATGAGAGGGTAAAAATGGGCTGGTGAGTATTTAAATTTCATTATTTTTTTATCGATTCAAATATGAAAGTACACTATTTTTATATTTAGGGTTTAACCAATATGACATTTTTCATAAAACACATAAAAAGTACATCCACATAGAAAATTCTGGATAATAAAATTATTTATAATGGTTAATAACTGTCTAATAAACCAAAAAAAAAGCTGCCGGTTGTTAATAAAAACAAACGCTTCCTTCTCAAAGTATCAGGTCACTGACTGCGCCTCCTCCAGATGGAAATTAGGTCACATCGAATATAATGAACACAGCCTGAAAACCTGCAGTTCGCACAACGTGAAGACGAAAATTATTATTTTACAATAAACACATCCTTAACGTTGCATGTTGACCTCGATACGTTTGAAGAAAGACGTAAATTTCAGCATAAGGAAGTTTACTCGTTAGGAACCGCAGAAGTAGACCAAAACCAGGTCACAGGAGCGGAGTTTATGTAACCTGCGCGGCGCTGTTTCCAACTATACAGCTGATTTTAACTTAATATAAAACACACAACACCTCAATGGAGCCTCGTCTTACCTTTAGCTGGCTCCCCAGGGGTGATAATTATGTCAAGCCCCGGGAAAGAAGCATCTCTTCTCCCCTCTGAGTGCGGGTTAGCGCTATATACCGGCTGCTATTCACCGTGAGAATCCCACTATGGTGGCTCTTTGCCCTACTGCCGAGCTGTGTTTCGTAACAGTTAAAGGCACTGCGCATGTTCTGCTTATTTATACCAGCTTTGTGCTGCGTTCACAATCTGCAGGTTTTATAGAAAACTTCGGACTTTTATTCCTTACGTGCATCAAAAACACATTTTCTTTAAATCTCAAGATATAGAAATTAACATAGACTCTCAATACATTTTGATATCAACGTCTTGTACTCGTTTTTGTTCAATACAAAGAGTTTTCCTCAAATATTTATTGACGTTGAAGCAGTAACTTCAGAGAAAATATGTGGAACAGTCTTGTGAATGCTAAAATGAATATTTTATTGGAGTAAAATGGGTTACGTTTCTCTAAATTTTTGGTAGGATTATTTTTCGCTGGATAGTTTATTTAAATCTGTCACTGCGTAAAAATATCCAATAATTTCCTTTCACTCAAATGCAACACAGAGCCCAATCAAACGTGAGGTCAGACTTTTTTCCCGAAGGCGAGATTCTTATTGGTCAATACGTTATCACGTGTGTCATACCGATCACGTTTAAGAGGCATGGAAATGCGGAAGTGTTCTTACATTGTTGTTGCTACTGGCTCATTCAGGGCTGATGGTAACCTTGATGCAAACAAACAAATATACAAAGCAAGTTAAAGCTATATTCTTGTAAAGAAAGCTATAATATAATATTATATGTTTCCACAAAGAAAATTAGGGTGAATTTTTCCTTAGAATATCACAGATCGAGGTTCAAAACCTCAGTGGTTGACATCAACATCCCAGAGAAGATTTTACGTCTAAAATCCCATTGGTTCAAACGTTATTAGAATTGGGATTCTTTTAGGAATTCAATTAAGTAAGGTGTCTGGAGACACAATAATAAAAGTCAGTGAAATACAATATTGAAACACTAATAATAACATCATTATCCATTATGATAATAATGACAATAGTAGTAGTGTTTAATTAGTTATGTGACAATAAAGCCGCTTGCATTCAAATCTTTATTGCATGTGTAAAATTTGTATTACCCTAATATATGCTAAAAGAAATGCAAAAATCCTGACAACCTGTCTAAAGGTGGTAAAAGTTCCTACTTCAATCGTAAAAAGGAATTAAAGCCAGGCGATTAAAAGACATCTTAAACTCTGGAATGAAACACATGTATTGTAATAAAAATAAAATTAACGAAAGTTACTTTTGCAGGAAAAAGCAGGAAGCCTGATAGTCTAAGACCATCTAACTATAATATGCTTTAAACTATGACCCTTAGTTAAAAAATAGCCTGAGGACAACAGTATTTTGGATTTGCCATTGTAAGCCTCTTACCTTAGTCCCTTGGAAATTTTGTGAAAAAAGGTGGCAAACAATGCCATCAAGGTGAATGAAGAAAGTAATAAAAAATATAGTTATTAGAACAGTTTTATTATTTTAGAATTAAGCAAAAAGAAATGAGTAACTGTAGTTAAACAATGTGATTCATTTGATTCAGTCACATAAAGTAAGAAAATCTGTATATTCAAATACCTTCATAAAAAGCCAGAGTGTCAGATATGTTCACGTAATAAGAAAAAAAAAAACCCAAAACAAACAAACCATCTAACATGGTTTATTACAGGCCAATAAGAACCTATTGCAAAATCTTTTGCTTTCAGTGGTTTCTTCAAACCACATTCTATATTTTTTCTATTTCCCCCCCAGCCTTACCCACAAAGCTATATCTGCACACAGTTAACTGAATAAAATGTGCCTATATTACCAGGTCTATCAGAAAGTAAATTTAAATTGAAAACTAAAAATCTGAGATGAATTGTGTTCTGTATCTACGCATACATTTGTAGCAGATTTCAATAAAATCACAGTGCAACATTACTGTTCTTTATTGCTTTTTAATTGACCTGATCCAGCCCCCATCCCACCCTCCAACCCCGTTAACACATTCTGTCTGCCAGCCCGTTTCGTGCTCGATGTGACCATAAGTCAGCAGATGGTCTGACACAGCTCTGGTAAGGAGAGCCAACACAGTCTGCTTACGGCACCGTCATCCGTTCCGTGTCATATTACATGCTTATTTCCGTCATGATGATAAATACTTATCAAATTATGATGGAGAAAAGATCTCTATGATATTTTCACAGGACGAAAGATCATAAATTACAATGCGTACCACAGAAGAATTAAACACACAAAAAAACAAACCTGTCCTATAAAAAAAACAAAAAACAAAACATACAACCATAACAGATGTAGGTCTAAATGGCCTTTATTTCTTTTTAAACTAAAGCATTTCCTGATAATTAAATCCAAAACCAGGTCAAACATATATCTGTTTATATGCCTCACGTAAACTATGATGCAGCCGCGTCATAGTTTACGTATTTTGTTGTCTCTCTCCTGGTGGGTTATTGGTTCTAGACAGAAAAACACTCCCAGTCTGAGCGAATCTGAAGGTGCTGCTGCTGTGCTGACGTCTTGTCTCAAGGCCGTGTGATGCACTGATGTCAATGGTTTGGGTCAGCAAATGCTTTTGCAGGAATACCCTCATAAATGGACGCATTAAATATCTTCTTTGTCTTGCTGTGACATAGAGGTCATGATTAATTTTTACCAATAATTCATGGTTCTCATTAATTTAGCATAGCTTTGTTTCCTCATATCTCTGCTTTTCTTCCAAGCTTATACTCTTCCTCTATAACAGTTCACCAATTGGATTTCTCTGCAGCGTGAAGCTCAACTGTCTTTTTCCATAGTTTTAAGTCAGTTATTATACATTAACTAGAAGGTGTACCTTTAAAACCTTTGTGTTCAAATACTTAAAAACTTAACAGATTAAAGTGAAACTTACAGAGACATTCAAAGATTCCATGGAAATTCTCCCAAGAAAAATGTAAATAACTTCATTCAAATTTTTTGCCTCATTTTAACAGATAAGAAAGACCTAGATTCAGAAAAAAAGAAAATCATCAGGAAATGTAACTTATTTAAAAAATGAGCAACCAATTTTTTTTTTAAACAAATATTGCAGAATAATGAATCATTCAAAGATTTATTGTACAAGGATATTTTCAAGTAAAAGAAACATAGATTTTTTTTTTTTATCCAACGAATGCAAATGTATGCATTCAGGCCCTCAAGCTCTTATACTTTTATTCAGATTCAGATGTCCTCCTGTAAAGCTGTTCTGTTATGGTTTTGGATTTATGTCAGAGGGCAGTGAACAAACAGCATAATGAAGGAGAATGACAGACAGAGACACAATTGTGGTCAGTTCATAAAGCAGTGTCTTAAGCTTTAATCACCCTGGATGTATGACAAATGTGCAGAGATTAAAAACTTAGATGTCAGAAACTATCAAGAGGACAGCTATGAACTGTATTCTTTTTAAAAAAGCCATAAAAGGTCCAGTCTGCATGTTTGGTGAGATGTTGGCTTAACAAGGTGGTTGCAGCATTATGTTGTAGAAAACAATGTTTTTCCAATAAGAGACAAGAAATCTAATAAGAGTTGGTGGAAAGATGGAAGGAGCTTAAGGCAGGTGGCACTAAAAAACAAATTCAGGCAACAAAAGGCTTGAGATATGGGTGTGGGTTCACCATCCAGCAGGGCAATGACCCTAAATGTACAACCAGAGATAAAAACATAATGATGTGATTTTAAAGCTTTATCAAAGTCCAGGTTTAAATTTAACCAAGAAGCTGTGGGAAAACTAACTTTGCTGTTAGTAGACGCTCTCCACCCAATCTGAATTCTGAAGCATTTCATAGTGAAGAAATGCTTGAAAAAAAAAAAACAATTTCTGTTTATGTGAAACGCTTTTTTGAAATATGCTGAAAATAACTTGTTGCTGGAGGATTGTTCAAGGTAAATGACACATCTTACCTAGTAGAAAGTTTTAAAACAATTTTCTATACACTTCAAAATAATAAAAAAAACTTTGTTAGTATATGACAGGGTTTGGTTGTGGTTTGAGGGCCCAAATGCTGAGGCAGGGAGGCAGAGGTGAGCTTTTGTAGATTTAATGAAAGATTAACAAACAACTGAGGCAGGAATCCAAAAAATCAAACATGAAAAAAAAAAAAGTAAAACAAACCAGAGCCATGGAGACTTCAGGGGAAAACAATCACGATGAGGTAAGACGGAGTTAGACGAGGAACGGCACAAGGAGAGTATTTATGGCTAACTGAACAGAGAAGAAAACAGGACTATCAAGCAGATTGGGAGCAGGTGTGAAGAGAGCAGTCTAAGGAGCTGGGGAAAAAGGAGACCAACACAAGAGGGCAACGGATAAAATCCTGAGAACTGAAATATAACCACAAAACACAACAAAATAAGAATTAAACCAATAAAACTAGAAAAAATTGAGCAAAGTTAAACTGAATACTCAAAAGAAAACATAACAGAACCAAGACTGTGACAGTATATTGCATAATCCCACAATATAAAACACTTTATATTAGATTTTTCATCAAACTGTCGGAAAAAGCTAGTTAAATATTAGTGAAACCACAGTAACCATTTCAAGCTGTGATTGAGGTTACCTGGAAAAATACAGACTTTTTTTAACTAACCCAAGAGCAGAAAGGTCTTCCACATGGGGGTCATGACCCCCTACTGGGTTACAGAGATACTGCAATAAATATTTCCCCTTAAGCCCCAAGAAAAAAATATTTGTATGTTTTATTTTAACTGTAAGCCAGCATAGTAACCGCTTAAATATTGCTGAAGCTATCAACAACTGTTTTAGCTTTTCCAAATAAACCAAAAGCCATTAAGAGCCGATAAATGTGATTTTGTTGTTCATTTATGTAGTCAAAACTTTTCAAAATATTTGGGTATAAAGGAGAGCTTCAGTAGATTACAAATATCCAAAGCAAAATGGTTAAATTAAAATTCAAAAACTGTTTCATAATCAATATATTTCATCTAATAGAGTCACTTCTCAAACCTTTCTTTGAGAAAACGAGACAAATACTGGAAAAACTAAAAATCTTTTCTAGACATGTAATCTCAACAGAACTTCAAAGTAATCTATGT